CTATTGTTTTTTAAAAAATAATTTTATTTTAAAAATAAAAACTATGTATAAATATTTATATAGTAAAAATTTTATTATAAGATACAATATTATTAACACTTTGATGTACAAAATTTATATATGAAATATTTATTTATATTATTTTTACGTGTATTTATATGATAAAAATACTACATATATAATTTTAAAATTTAAAATTAATTATCCGATTCAACATTGACCTTGTAACCCGACAGTTAAATGGGTGACCCGAAAGCTTATGCGCCTCGATGCCCCGAGCCGATTTTAAAAAAACTAAGCTAAATATAGGGTATGATGAATAATACCCCAACACAACTGTGTATATGCAATTGTTTTCAATATGCAAGATATGACGGGTTGTCGGCTGACCGGTTATCGAGTTTGTCAGTTGCCAAGGTCGTCCGAGTTCATCCGCAGTTAAAAAGATTAAAAGATTATGATACATATTTCAGATAAATGTTTCTTCTTTTGCACACGTATCATTACATGACAATTTTTATATATGTATAACTAGTTTGTTCTCGGCTGTGCACAGCACAGCCGTGCCCAATTCGGATTTTAAATTTTTTTTAACTAAGAAATACGTGAGAACTATATAAGTTGTAATTATTTGTATTTAAATGAAAAATAGTAACCGAACCTTAATGCATACCTTGGGGAAACTGTCGATGCACATGGGGAGAGTTTAAGCGGGGGAGTAAGGTGGGAGGGAAAGAGAGAGTGAGAGATTAATTAATGCTTATACCTCATTAAGAATCTCTAGGTAACCTTGTGCCTGAAGAAAAAAAAAAAAAAGTTGATTAAAATGCAAGAGCAAATTAACATGAACTACTATAGGAAAATTGTACCCTCATTCCTTTCCACCTTATATTAACCTAATCTCCTTATAATGCAACAAAATATGAGATAATAGAGCTTAATAAAGAGATCACAAAAGACAAATTAAAATCCTCAATCTCATCCTCAAGGTAGTATTACTGCAAATTCCATATTAGAAATTCAGACTTGAGTTCTTTGCCAACGTTGCAACATCATAATCTTTGTCCTGCCAAGCCTTCTTTGTCATTGTCTCATGATCCATCCTGTAAAGTTGTGGGCCTTATGAAAAAATCAATAGAAATGTCATTTCCAGTATACCAAATATGAAAAGAAATAAGGTTTTTTCCCCCTCCAAATAATAAGCTTTCAAGCAACATTAAAAAAATTCAAATACATTGAGTTGTCCGCGCTTTAGTTTCCATAATTTGCACACCAAAAGGTAATAAAAATAAGGTCAAAAGTCGGGTTTTTGAAGCATAAAACAGGCACCTAATGGAAAAAAAAATAAAAAAAATAGCACAAAGATATTGTATGTAGAAACCACAACCATCTAGTCCAAGAGGATGAAGCCCATATCATCGTCGGATTCTTCTTTCTCCTCAACTTTCTCTTCTTTCTTCGTCTCGGCCACGGCCACACCTGGTGCACTGCCGGTAGATACAGATACCAGCTTCTCACGTCCAGCGGTAATTAGCTCTGTTATGTCTTTTTCCTTCACTTGTGACAAAAGAAGCTACACCCTATCATCATTGACGGAAGGGGCGTCGTAGGCCAACACGCCGAGCAAATAAGTTGCCATGACATTCATATCGCAGTGCCCATCAGTTGCCGATAACTGAGCTGAAAGAAATGAGAGTGCCAAAAAGAAATAAGAGTTTCAACCAAATGGAATACGTACTTATAAAAATAAGTATAATAGTTGATACAAAATTTATAGACTAAATACAAGGAATAAAGGCAACTAATACGCGTATTATAAACACTCCCTCAAGTTTTCCATTCTACAAATTGCTCACCAGTAAAGTCAAATTAAGCATATTTGTTGAGAGAAAATAAGCTTCATAGTGTCTATATCATAGTAAAGGTTTGATTATAATTCTGAAAGATGAGTGGGCCTCTTTGTAAACCCTACTTTTAGTAAAGATAAGCACTTTTAAAATAAGTTAATGAGTGTGTGTGTGTGTGTGCGCGCATTTGGATCCATTACTCACCAGTGTTACCGGTCTAGGACAAAGTATATAATTCATTAAATAAGCCATAAAATATAAATTAAATTTAATATATACAGGCGTACTCATCCTTTCTTACCACACATTTATTTAATATTAGGAAACAAAGTAAATATGACATGCAATTAATAAAATATTATATCGAAGATAGCAACTTAGTTAATCTATTAATAATCTATAAACAGGGAGAAATATGTCTATAAATACCTCCAGAACATTAGCTTGTCAACAGAACAAGTTTTCCGTTATGTTTCGAGTAGTTTCAAATGCAACGTCGTTCTATACAGGATCAATCTGCGAAAGAAAATTTCACACCAAGGAAAAAAACTTTTTTTTGAATAAACAGTAAGATAGAGTAAATGTAAATGTAGAAAAAATAGAAAATGCGTATAAGTAAAACTAATTAAATATTTTGAGCTGATCATAACCCACATATGTTAAACTCAGTATTTAAAATGTTACCTTAGCCGAAGTTGAGAAATTATAAATCACCAAATCAGATCAATGGAGAACTTTCACTAAAAATAAATAAAGGAAAGAAAATAGATATTTATTGCAGGCCACATAATGGTTCATATAGTGAATAAAAAGAGCCAAGTACTATCTCCTGAGTAGCATAAAACTCAATGTTGAAACAGTTTCTTCACCACTTCCATTTTATCAAAATCTCTTATCTTTCCAAAACATAAACCTAATATAAGAAATTCACACAAAATAAGAACACTTCTTCATATATATTAATTACTGAATATATTACGAAACTTGAATATATAAAACTGCAAATAAGATTATAGATTTGCTTGGTTACTATCCTTTGTGCAGTTGATATCCAGACTTTTGTTAATAAATCAGAAAATTAAAATTGTTTGGTTCACATTGAGAAGGCGTATGATGTGACAAAGCTCGATTTCCCAATGTAAAGGTTGGATACAATATCAACATTAGAGTAAGTTAAATTGAATGTCTAATCATTATGCATGTGTACCTGCTAATTGAATGGTTAACAAATATTATATGCTAAAAAATTCAAGACAGAGAGAAAAATGAATATCTTTTACCTTCAGAAATCAAAGTATCCCGAGAAGGTGATTCTCTTGGAGTCCACTGTCCAACTGTGTAGAAAGTTGTTTTCATATCATTAATCTCCTTAATGGCAACTAATGAATGCGTGGAGTATAAAAAATTGGACATAAAAACTACATAAACCATGTCGTTTTTTCTTTCAGAAAGTTCCAACACATCCAGAGCCATCATGAATTCAATTCCCTTAAAATAGTTCTGGAGAACCTAAATTTAAACCCAAAAATCTAACCATTTGCCTCATATTTCCCTAGGAATTCTATTAACCTACTGATAATGAATTTCTTGATCCGAATCTAGATCTCACAGTAAGCAGCGTTTCTTGGGTGCACCTCCATTACATAACAATGGAAGATGTAGAAGGTGGTGGTGGAGCCTCTGGTGATCTGGTGGAGCTTCTTGGAGCCGATGGAGCCGATGTAGTCAACGCAGATGTGAAAGGAGAGGATGTTTTCTCTCTATCTGCAATTAAATGTGATGTGATGATTGCGTGTGCGGGTGGAGTGGCGTGTGCAGATTCACTATGTAAAAAGAGGCCCGTTTTCAGCCTTTCAAACCGGCGTCGTTTTGATACAAAATTATTGTACAAAAACCAATTTCAATTAAATCTCTCAAACGGTGCCGTTTTGAACAAAATGGAGCCTTTAGAGGAGTGCCACGTGGCGGCTAACAAAGGGGTTATATGGTTTTCTTATAAGATAGAGGAAAACATTGCAATATTGTTTTTTTCTTTTAACTAAACACTAGTATAAGACCTATGATTATACAAATGCTAGTTGAAAAAATTATGCAGAAATTCTTCAAAAAAAACAAAAGACAAGTTTTTATTTTTTTAGAATTTCAAATATTTTTTAAACATTGTATTATTACTTATATTTAAAATAAGACTTTTTACTTCTACAATTTGCCCGTCTTATATTATAATACTTTTTTTCTGGTGCATTTGTAATGAATTTATAAATAAATTATTAATTGATAATGAAAACATGATAACAAATACAAAACTTGTTATTTATACAAAACTTTTTAATCTTTTAATCAAGTGTTTTATAATTTTAAAGTTGGATAGAATTTGAGATCTACATGGAGTAACTTCGAAGCACCAGAACTTAACACACATGATAATGAAACACCAGAATTTGATACAGGATTACAAAGTACCAGAAACTGATATACTTAAAAAAACTCTGCATTTATATGTAGGGAATGATTTATGCTGAATTCTTAAAAAGTAATATAAGAGATAAGTTCTTTAATTTACAATTTTCAAATGCCTTTTAAGATTCATATTATTATTTGTTGATATGGCTCATATATTGACAAAGGAAGGAGGCAGGCCGATGCCTGCGAGCGGAGCGGAGCGAGCGTAGCGAGGGAAGCGTTTATGTAAATTTATACCTTGTAGGGATATCATATAAATACATTGTGTATTGATGTATTTGGGATAACGAGTGAATAATAAGATCTCTGCTCTGACGTGGACGTAGGCACATTGCCGAACCACGTAAATCTTGTGTCATTTACTTTCTCGTCTTTAATTCGCATTGTTCTCGTTTCTCAACATTATTTATATTTAAAATAAGATTGTTCACTTGAACACTTTTCTCGTCTTATATTTTATTGTTTTCTAATTCATATGTAATGTATTTATAAATATTTTTTTAATATTTACTAATGTTTAATTCGTATAATAGATAATTTAATTTACAATAAAAAAATAAAATTATTTATTTATTTTTATTTAACACGAATATGAAGGTCATAAAATAAGGATAAATTGATACCAAATATATGAAAAACTCCTTACACAACTTTAGAAGTTTCAGGAAGAGTTGATGAAAATGGTTCTATATAAGTTAAGAAGCACTAATGAGAATGTGTAGTTTCAACAAGAGGAAAAATGCTCTCTTACTACGGTGGACATATGTTAATATGCCTACCACTTATGTGGTATGCACACATTGATGATGTTAATATATTAAAAAAATACATCACCAATGTGTGCATGCCACATAAACGGTGGACATATTAACATGTGCTCACCGTGGGTAGGGGAACATAACCCTCAACAAGAGTTAATGAGCATGGTTGCTATTTAATCGTGATATGTAAAATATTTTTGATTTATCATCTCTAATAATAGTTGCTATCACATGGATTGATTCATGTGTCTTTCTTGATCTTGAGCTTGAATTCCTGGTGTACTACAGTGTTGTTATGCTGGTACAGTTTTAGAGGTATTCTTGTCTCATTGTTTTCCTGTATGTGTGGAAAGAAAGAGGCTAATAACTACTAGATTGAAATGGCTGGTCGGGGCAATACACTCGGGTCCGGGTCGGCAAAGAAAGCTCAATCGAGAAGCAGCAAGGTGGGGCTCCAGTTTCCCGTCAGTCGTATCACCCGTTTTCTGAAGGCCAGTAGGATGCTTGGATATAAAATTTTTTGGATTTGTTTGGATTTTTTGGTTTAGTTTAGTTAATTTTGAAAAATGTGGTATGGTAGTTGTTAGTGGGTATATTAAAATAATATTTAAAATAAAATAATTAAAGTTGATTTGATGTAAAAGTATGAGAGAGAGATTTGAAGTGATGGTTAGTTAAAATTATGTGAATGGATGAATAGTGAATTAAGGTTGATGTGATATGTAAGAATGATTGGTTGATATTATTTAATTATATTAATAATATTAATGATAGTTGAGTTAAAAAAATGGTTGAGTTAAAAATGTTTGAATTTTTTGGATAAATTTTGTATCCAAGCATCCTCTAAGTATGCCGAGCTTGTCAGCGCTCGAGCGCTGGTGTATCTCGCCGCTGTTCTGGAGTACCTGGCTGCGGAAGTTCTTGAGCTGGCTGGAAATGCACAACGATCGTGCTTCGGCACATCCAGTTGGCTGTGAGGAATGACAAGGAGCTGAGCAAGCTTCTTGAAGATGTCACAATTGCCAATGGTGGAGTCATGCCCAACATTCACAACCTTTTGCTCCTGAAAAAGACTAGATCCTCAAAGCCCTCGGCTGATGAGGATTAGATTGGTATTCAAGTGATAAGTGGATCATGAATATGATATTGATAGAAGGTTTAGATCTTGTTCTTTTGTTTTCTTATATGTTAGTTTTAATTGATTGCTTTCTTTTCATTTTGAAGGTTTTTAGAGGTTTGTAGGTGTTATGTTAGTTTTGATTAATTGTTTTCTTTTCATGTTTATATGACCTATAATCACTCTCACATTAGTTTATATGAGATTTAAATGGTTTGTAAATGAATGAATGGTATCTGTGTTACAGTTATTTGTTAGCTAATTGATGAAATAATATAAGAAAGTGTTACAGTTATTTGTTGTACATAAATTTATATGAACTACCTAAAATGGTACAAGTTTTTATAGCAAATAGTACCAATAGAATGACACACTAATAAGAAAACACTACTAATACACTTCATTTCATTGAATGACACACTTCATCACATAGAACCATCACATATGACAACTTCAAATTCTACATATTTGTTTTTACTTCAACTATTTTTCATCTAAATCAAGCTACAATGATCCACGTGAAAAGATAGACATGAAAGATTAAAAAAAATACGATTCCTAAACTAGTACCAACTTTTGCCATAATAGTTCCACATATTGTTCTATGTAGTACCAATTTTTAAGCGATTAGTACCTACTTTTGTGAAAGAAAATTGATTATTTCAATTTTACTCAATATTTACAAAAATTAGTACCAGATCTAGAGGAGGATAGTACCACTTTTGTATTGCAGTAGTACCTAATATTGGGTCTTTAGTACTACTTGTGATGAACACATAAAAACACCGAATTTCGACCTCGAATGATGTTTACATGACCCATAATCACTCTCACATTGGTTTATATGAGATTTAAAATGTTTTTAGTTGAGTTTAATCTTAAAATTGTCATGAACTCGACACACTAATGAGAAAACACTACTAATACACTTCATTTAATTGAATGGCACACTTCGTCTCATAGAATCATCACACATGACTACTCCAAATTCTACATATTTATTTTAACTTCAACTATTTTTCATCCAAATCAAACTATAATGTTCCACGTCAAAAGGTAGACATGAAATATTAAAAAAATACGATTCCTAAACTAGTACCAGTTTTTGCCATAATAGTACCACATATTGTTCTACGTAGTACCAATTTTTGAGCGATTAGTACCTACTTTTGTGAAGAAAAATTGATTATTTCAATTTTACTCAACATTTACAAAAAGTAGTACCAGACCTAGAGAAGGATAGTACCACTTTTGTATTGCAGTAGTACCTGATTTTGGGTATTTAGTACCACTTGTAATGAACACATAAAAACACCGAATTTCGGCCTCGAATGATGTTTACATGACCCACAATCACAAAATACTTTTAGTTGAGTTTAATCGTAGAGTGGTCATGAATTCGACATACTAAACTACACTTCATTCAATGTTACACTTCATCTCATAGAATCATCACACATGTCTACTCCAAATTCTACATATTTGTTTTAACTTCAACTATTTTTCATCCAAATCAAGCTATAACGATCCACGTGAAAAGGTAGACATGAATGATTAAAAAAAATACGGTTCCTAAACTAGTACTAGTTTTTACCATAATAGTACCACATAATGTTCTATGCAGTACCAGTTTTTGAGCGATTAGTACCTACTTTTGTGAAAGAAAAATGATTATTTCAATTTTACTCAACATTTATAAAAAGTAGTACCGGATCTAGAGGAGGATAGTACAACTTTTGTATTGCAGTAGTACCTGATATTGGGTCTTTAGTACTACTTGTAATGAACACATAAAAACACCGAATTTCGGCCTCGAATGATGTTTACATGACTCATAATCACTCCCACATTAGTTTATATGAGATTTAAAATGTTTTTATTTGAGTAATCCTAAAATTGTCATGACCTCGACACACTAATGAGAAAACACTACTAATACACTTCATTTCATTGAATGACACACTTCATCTCATAGAATCATCACACATGACTACTCCAAATTCTACATATCTATACTTATATTAAAGGGGGTACTATTTACTAAATTAAGTAGCCAGAAAAGTCAACAACATTTATTGCATTACTATTTTCGTATTATACTATATAAAAGGATATTCTATTTACTACATTTACTA